GTAGCCAAGAGCGTGGGTGGTGGAGCCGTGGTCGAGGTAGCCGTGCGAAGAATGCCGTGGTCGATGTCGAGTCGGGGTGGCCGGCGTCGAGGAAGTCGCCGTGGAGCCGCGAGCGCAAGAGGGTGCCGAGTTAGTCTTGGGCGCAGTGGTGACGAGGTAGTGGTGCGCCGGAAGGATGATGGTGTTGACGACGCGTCGCGGCTGGTTTGCCAAGCCCGGAGACACATCGTGGATGAAGCCACGCACCGGTGTTGCCAGCACCGGGCATGCGTAGACGGACGAAGAGGAAGTTGATGAAGCGCCGACCAGGCTTGCCAGGCCCGGGGACACGTCGTGGATGAAGGCACGCATCGGTGTTGCCAGCACCGGGCATGCGTAGATGAGGGACCTGCACGAGCTGTACGCCATGTCGGAGAAGTCGGAGGGGCCAGCAGAGAAGAACTCGACGACGATTGCAGCGTCCATCGGCGCGCGGCCGATGTCACCAACGGTCGTCGGAGTAGACGAAGTGGTCGGGGTAGATGATGGCGACGCTGGTGACGGGATGGTGCTCAGACGAAGATGAAGGGGTTGGACGGGCGGCTACGGAGGTGGCGGCAGCGGCGGCCAAAGAAGAGCAGCGACAGCGGCCTGACGGCGGCGGCGGCTAGGTTAAAAGTGCGACAGCGGTGCTCGAAGTAGGCGAAGAACCCTGACAGCGTGACGAAGACCGGCACGAACGGTAGCGTTCCCTCGCCAAGGGAGACGGCGCGGCGCATACCACGGGAGGTCGATGCGCGGTGACAGCAGAGTGGATCGCGGGCCGCGGCGCTATAGCCCAAAGAGGCGACGCAGTGGTGACGCACGAGTCGATGCAGCCGCAAGGAGAACCACGGGGCGGCGGTGCTGCTGCCCGACGGGGCGACGCAACGGCAGCCCGATGCTCGATCGGTGGAGAAGCGCGCTGAACTCAGGGACGATCTTCACGGGACCTGCGGAGGCGCGCGTAACCGACGGGCCAGGTCGGTCGCACGGCGTAGATCAGGCAAATCGCGGTGGCGAGCGGGTGATCAAGCCGATCGCGCGTGAGGTCGGGGACGCCACTCGGTGGAGGCATGGTGGCGGCGGAGTCCGAGATGAAGCCGGCGCCGGCGGACGGTGTGAGACGTCGTGCGGACGAGCTTGTCAGCACCCGCACCCGGGCTGGCAAAGCAACGCCGGTGCCCGGGCAGCAAGGCCTGAACGACCAACGGAGCAACGACGCCCGAGTTGAGGTAGCCGACGAGCCTGACGCAGCCGTCCCGACACAGCCGAGGACGAGGCCGGCGAGGTAGACCGTCGGGCCGTCGTACAGAGGTGGCGGAGGCGGGTGACGTGGATCGATGGGCGGGCCGGCGCACGAGCGACGGCTATGATTAGTCGTCGCATTGCGCAAGGCCACCGGGTCGGGGCGATGCAGGTATCCCGGTCGGAGCAGGGCGGTGACGGCCGGCGCAGGGCGATGGGAAGACCGACGCGCGGACGGCGGCTGGCCCTGATGGGCCGCCTCAGCGCGCGTGGCCGCCGGGTCGGAGGAGAGTCCGGCTGGTCGCGCCGGGGTCGGAGTAGAGGTGCTCGGGATCGACAGCGGCGGTGGGCGACGCAAACCGATCAAGAATAGGTCAGAAAACCAAAAAGAAACCGCACGATCAAGATGACCGGCGCGAGAGAGAAAACCCCGGAGCAAGGCTCGGGGAAAAGACTCTCTAGGGCAGCCGATCAATACGACCGGCGGACGAACCCTAGGTTTGGGCGGCGCGGCCCCCGACGGCGGTCATGGAGGCCGACCGCCCCGGGGGCGGCGCGCAGGTGCGGAAGCAGCGGTGGCTAGGGTTTAGGATCGACTTGCGATAGATACCATGTTAGAAGGGAAAGAGGGGATTGGTGGAATAGTCGTTGTATTGCTTGAGCCACATGGGTATATATATAGGAGTACATGATCTACTTGGAGTACAAGGCAAGCCAGAATATTTCCTAGTCTAACCTATGTTTCGTAATACAATCACATTACTCAACAGGAGGGACTCAAAGGTTGCTTTCATGGTAGGGGCATCCCTGTTGCGCCAACCTTTTGTGCCTACTATTGATGTGGCTATTGCTGCAATGTCTCAAGAGGAGGTGCGGCTATCTCTGGTGCATGCATACATGAAGGTTGTGCCGACTTCAACATTTGTAGTCACTAAGCGCATGGAGTGGACAGGTCCCAATAGAGACCCCGGCAACTGTCATATTTGTGGGTAGGTAGGTCACTCGAGCTGGGACTATCCAACTCCTGGCAGAGGTAGGGGATACAACAGAGGGGGACTGGCAGAGGAAGGGGATACAACAGAGGGGGGGACTGGCAGAGGTGGATACTCAGGGACCTCGGGGGGTCAGGCTCCTAGGGGTAGATGTGGCTACTCAGGAAAACCAAGGGGTCAGAGGGCTCACATGGTACTTCAAGACACTGGGACATCGAAAGGCAAAGGTGTAGATGATATTGACTATGGAGACTTTTACTCACTGGGCCTCCACTAATGAAGGTAATTCGGACAAGGCATCTCTCTTACTACTAATGAGAGTGCTCGAGAGTGGGTTCTTAACTCTGGAGCATCTAAGCATGTTGCTAGTAAATTATGCGCCTTCGAGTCTTACGGTAAGCATCCTTCTTCTCACACGACACTATACAAACTGTTGATGGCACTAAACAGCCTGTCATATGAGTTGGCACAGTAAAGTGCACTCCAACCATCTCCATGTCCCCAGTTTTACATGTGACAGCTTTTCCTATCAATTTGATCTCTTTTAGTTTTAGTGCTCTAATTGCTCAAATATAAATTCGTTTACGTGATTCAGGAGCGACAGACAAGGCAGCCACTTGGGACTGGCACTAGGCGTGGCGGCTTTGGTACATGGACCAGGAGGTGCAGCCGGACTTAGTGTGTGATGTGATCATGAAGAACAGGAAAGGAAGGCGATGATCCATCACTGTAGGATGACACATGTATATTTTGATAAGATGAGTAGAACCTTTCCGGCTATTATGTGTGGGATAGGCAAGGGCAAGTTGGCATGTGATGCTTGTGAATATGCCAAACACATAAGAGCCTCATATGTGGGTAATGGGCTTAGAAGCATATCTCCTTTATGTTGATTCATTAAGATGTATGGATTTGCCCAGTTGTGTTAATGGATGAAATGAAGTACTTTAATAAATTTATCTATTTCTATTCTTGTATGACATGCAGTTATTTGATGCGTCACAAAGATGAGGTGTTTAGCTGTTTTCAGAAATTCCATGCCTTGGTGAAGAATGAGTTTTAGATGCAGGTGCAGGTGATCAAGACTAATAATGAGACAGAGTATGTGAACAACGCCTTTGGGGCCTTCTTGTCTTATCAAGGTATTCTTCATCAAACCTCATGCCCAGACACGCCTTATTAGAATGGAGTGGCAGAAAGGAAGAGTCAACATACTCTGGAGGTTGCTCGGTCGATGATGTATACGACGAATGTGCCCAAGTTCTTGTGGAGTGAAGTTGTGATGACAGCCACATACCTCATCGAGCAGGCACCATCACGAATATTAGGCATGAAATATCCGTGTTAGCTGGTATATGGTGAAACTAACTTCCCCCAAAGTTGTTTGGCAATACTTGTTTTGTTCAAGATAACCAGCCTTTTGTTGAGAAAGTTGATCCGTGAGCAGTGAAATGTATTTTTATGGGTTATTCTTCTACTCCCTCCGCTCTTAAACATAAGAAGTTTTTGCAGTTTATTACAGAGGGAGTAATCAGCAGGGGTATAAATGTTGTTGTCCCTCTCATAAACGTAGGTTTGTCAATATGGATGTAACCTTCAGGGAGTCTGAGCCATTCTATCGTGAGCCAATAGATCTAAGTGTGATGTTTCAAGAGCATGACCACTTCCACTCTATGCAGGATGGCCAAGATGGGGAGAAGGATGTATCTCACACTCATGATGCTTTTTTGAACACTAACATTGATGATGATGTGCAGGTTCATGCGAGCCAATTGTGGGTACAATTCCAATTGGTAATCTCACTAATGGTCATGTGCATGTTCAAGTCCAACCCATAGTGGGTTCCATTCATATTGGTAATCTCCAGCTCCTTGTTTGAGATCGGTGGCAGAAGATTACCCTAGTGTAATCTCGATGGCAGCCATAAGTGCATACCTCATCTGACACGTTTGGTATATTCTCGGTGGAAGCCACATGTGCAGGTGGAGCAGCAAGTGTAGGGGGAGCAGCAAGGCATTGAAGCAAGCTAATCTGACACAGTGGAACTACCTATTGTGTTGCGAAAGGGGACACATGAAGCAACACAAAAGGCTTTTTAGAATCATGACATTGGAAAATTTGTGTCTTATGAGCCTTTCTATGTCTCTTTCGTATTGAGTGTTCATTGCCTCCATTCAATACATTGCCAGCAAAAAAGAAAGCAGTGAGTTGTAAGTGGATTTATACTGTGAAGAAGAATCCCAAAGGGAAAGTGAAACGGTGTAATGCCAGATTGGTCGCCAGAGGATATAGTCAAACTTGTGGGATTGACTATGGTGAGACGTTTGCTCTAGTGGCAAAGATGAACACTGTAAGGATATTGGTCTCATGTGTTGTAAACTTTGGGCGAAAGTTGCATCAATTAGATGTCAATTACGCCTTCCTGCATGGTGAGCTGCAGGAAGAAATCCTTGTATGGACTAAAGCAATAGCCGAGGGCATGGTTTGATAGGTTTAGACGAGTTGTCTGTGGTATGGTGTATGGTCAATGTAACGGTGATCACGTGATGTTCTACAAATACTCTGATCAGAAGATCACCATTATTGTTGTCTATGTGGATGACATTATCATCACTACACAAGGTAACAAGGAAATAGAGAGATTGAAGGGGTGTCTGAGCAGGGAATTTGAGGTAGAGGATTTGGGCACCCACAAATACTTCCTTGGCATTGAAGTGGCTCAAAAGAGAAGGGAATATCTTTATGTCAATGGAAATATACTTTGGATCTCTGATTGAGTTGGATGGCTATAGTGACTTTGATTGGGCCAGTTGTCAAGATGATACACAATCAAACTTCTGGCTATTGTGTGTTTGTGGAAGGAAATTTGATGTCATGGAGAAGCGAGAAATAAACAATGTGTCTAGATCAACAACAGAAGCTAAGTATAGAGCCTTATCTTAGGGGTTGAGTGAGGTGCTTTGGGTAAAGCACCTTCTAAGTGAATTTAAACTTCTGAGAAAGGGACCTTTAAGGGTGTGGTGTGGTGTGGCAATCAGTCGGCTATAAGCATTGGTAATAACCAACTTCAACATGACCGGACTAAACATGTGGAAATTGATCGTTTCTTCATTAAGGAGAAATTGTATGTTGGGATTATCAGCATCACTCATGTCAGCTCTAGACAACAGGTTGCAGATTGCTTAACCATGTGACCGGGAACAAAGGTAGAGAGAGCTGTGAGGTATGTCTCTCCCCTCGACTCAACAGTCCACATACTAATTTACTTCAATTCTTTATTTCTCTCTCTTTTTAATCTGTTAAATCCTTTATACATTTGTCAATCTAGTGTCAATAGGATATATAGCTAATGGTAGAGAACTAGTAATTGTGAAGGCCGACCCAGTTTCAATTGTGAAGGCCGACCCAGTGTCAATTTTTTCAGGATTAAACGATCAAAGCTGAATGTGATTAATGAATTAATGTTTATATGAAAACTTGGTCATCTAAACAAAGATTTGAGCTTGTCAAGATTTTGTCTTCCAAATAGCTAAATCTGAATTTGGATATTAGTGCCTCCAATAGAACAAGAATTACTACAGAAGTATCGCAACATCAATACTTGAGACTGGGTTAGAAATTAAGCATATTGGCATTTTAGATTTCAGCTAATCAATACTCCAGATTCAAATAAAAAACTGTAACATCTTTAATTTGTGGGTGAATAAGAGCGTGCACTGTGCAAATATCTAGATTATGCTACAGAGGTGTTCATAATTTTTCGAAAAAGGACGGTTTTCATTGATTCTATAAGGTGTGACATCTCCCGGGTACCCCCTACATCCTCATGATCAGTAATTTCAAAACAAAATGAAAAAATTAAAAAATAACTGAAACTTTGGGGCACCAAACATGATTAAACATTTGATGATCTTGCAAAGTTTCAGCCACAAATAACATTCGAGGAACCCTGACAAAAAAACAAAATCACTGTTCAAAAGTGCATATAAACTTTGAACAGTGATTTTTTTTTGTTGAGGGCTGAAACTTGGCAAGAACATCAAATGTTTGATGTCCCAAAGTTTCAGATTTTTTTTTGTTTTCAATTTTTTTTGAATTTACTGTTCATGAAGGGTGCAGGGGCAGCGGGTGTTGAAAGTCCTGTCTATTAATTAATATTGAAGCATCACGGGTGCTAATAATTAATAGTTACCGGAAGGTAGTGGAGTCCCACAGACGAACTGACCCGTCCCATGAACCTGTAATGAGTACTGGAAGATCCGGATGGCAAAACGCAATGTTCACAACATCCATGTGCCCTTTCAGTGAATGAACACACCTCCGTGTCTCGCAGTCCCAGACCTGATCCCACAAGGAGCAAAACTCATGATTGAATAAATATTCTCTAAGTATGATGAAGGTGTTGGAAGTAAACCCAACGTCCAATCGGATTACATGTACGTATCTGCGTCCAGGTAGTGCATGAGATAGTTACCTTGTAGGATTAGTATTCCATGTTGATTCGGTTTGTAACTAGGCAGACTAGCTGTTATATATATGTGCACGTACCCCGTGTACCCTTGTAACCGTGAGTTGATCAATAAAGTAATAAGGTTCGATACGAGCCTTTGGCAATACGCCGAGTCTCTTGTGCGTGCGTTGAGTATTCAGCCCAAAGGCTGTTGCGTACGTACGTGTTTAGGCGTGGAGCAAAATCAATCAGCTTGGACGGCTAGCTTTGCACTGCGGTGCATCAGCTAGTAGAAGCTTTTTGTGGTGCGCTGCATCTCGACGTAAAGAGACTTCGTCGCGATTGCATCGGCAGGAGCAGTTCAGTAGCTAGCGTTGGTTCGTCATCGTCGGTCGTCGTCGTCGTCGGAAAGTACTCGGCGTCGGATCTAGGCTAACAGAAGGGCTAGTCTATTCTTCAGTGGAAATGCCATACCTTGGCAGTTCTGTCTTGTGAACCGGTGATCAAGTATAGCTTGTGACCCAGACTGAAGTAATCCAAACACACCACTGAATCTGAATGGGCAGACAATATGTGCTTACATTCACCTGAATGCAAATTCCAAAACTGCAATTTCGAGCAAATAAATGTATCAGGAAAACTTGGAATGTCCGAAATGATGTTTACCGAATGCATGCATAGGAAATCTAAACAAACCTTTACTGTTTTGCCCTGGGCAATAGCAAACATATCGGTGTCTATCGGATTAAACACAACTTGCTCCACAGGATCGCCTTTATGAAGCTGACTATTGGCATAAAATGTTTTTATCAAATGCCAGCCATTTCCATAGTCCCAGAGCAAAATTTTACCATCACGGGATGCAGACAGCACATATGGCTTGGTTCCATGGATAGCCAAAGACTTAATAGATGTTGAGTGTTCACGCAGAACATGAATTCTGTCTTGTAAATCCCAACTGTACACGCAGAGGAGTCCACTAGTAAAACCAGCCAAAATCCATTGCTCGCGGGCTATAAATTTAGCCAAACTAACTGCAATGGGATAGATATCTGATGTTATATTGAATAAAGAGAAAAACATTAGGTCAACGTGGTGAAAGTCAGAAGCATGCCTTCTCCCCATTTCAACTCAAGCAATTCCACTTCCTGCGGGTAAATATATGCAAAGAAGTCAATTACTTCTTAAATACAAGAAAATTAAGCATAGTAACTGAGCAAAAATGAGATGGTTAGCAATGTTAGCTGGAGTAGCCAAGTTCGAAGAAGTGCTAGTCGAAATCAACATATTAGCAGTAAATGTTTTAAATAGCGTGCTATGGAAAATAGCGGCGGACCTCCAAATCAGCTATAGCGGGCTATTTGTGAAGGAGACCATTTAGCGGCACCCTACTGAAAAGGCAATAGCGGGCTATAGGGGAGCTATAGCCGGCTATTTAAAACTATGCAGTACTGTATGAGTAATAGTAATATCAGTTTAATATTTGTTGATTTGTAGATGTAGACCAGCAAAAATCTACACACATGGGTGATATATATATATGCACAAGATTACCACGACATCGCCATGCCAAGTGGTTGCCACACCAGATTGCTGCACTCTGAGGTCACCACGCACATGACTGCGCGCTGCCCATCAAGACCTGGAGTTAACATGCCTTCTCCAACTTAGAGTCTTAGAGCATCTGTAGCCGGTCCCCACAAACCGGTTAGGGGAGTAAAAATCCAGCTTTACTCATCTAATGGGAACCTAGCTGATCCCCTAAAATGCTATAGCGGAGTTAAATTTTACTCCACGCCGACCCGAGCAAGTAAACTTATTCGACCCCTCGGCTAGGGAGTAAAATTGCCCACACCTCTCTGCCTCTTCTTCCCCCAATGCCCTGTCTCCCACATCTCGTCGGCGACCCCTCATCGCTCCCGCACCCCCATCAGTGCCGCCATTGCTAGATCCCATGGCCGCCACTCCCTGCCGCCCATCCGCAGCACGGACCCACGTCGTCACGAGCGCAGCACCGGGCAATCTCTTCCTCCCGCCGCCGCGTCTCTTCCTGAGCGCCACCCCATCTGCCTCCCGCGGCAGGCTCGCCGGCTTCCCCAACCTCCACACGCCACCGCCACCGCCATGGAGGCCGACTGTTGCACTTCACTCGCTGCTCGTTCATTCACTTGCTCATGAACTCGTTGCTTCGCTAGAAGCGACTACTCGCCTCGCCTCCTTTCCTCCGCAAGATGCTTAGCCAGAAACGATGAAGGAGGGGAACTGGGGAAGGCAGACAAGCCGTTAGTCCTCTATTTTACCGCTAGAGATGCTCTCAGATGCCTTCAGTCCCCAACATTCTCGCCTCATCAGCAAGAATTCATGTGTGTAGGAGAAGCCCCAAATTACCCACTAT